TAACACACAAAAATCTAACAGGAATTAATATTATGGCAAAGGTGTTTGCTTTTGAGATGTGTTTGTGATATTTTGAATGCAGTGCTTCATTTTGCAAGAGATTTGAGGCATTTTGCATTTATATATATTATTATTATATTATTGTTTTATCCATGGATACTGGTATTATATATCATTAAAGAGCAGGTCATATGGGTTTTTGAACGTAGCTATCCTTAAATGAAAACAATCTGCAAAGTTGTTAATCAAAAAAGTGCATGATAAATAAAGATATTGTCTCTCAAAAGAGAGAGTCGATTCTGTCCAGGTAAAGCACGATATTACTGTCTTACTGAAGTAGTTCTGATAATACGCTGTGAACCCACTATTTCCTAAGAATGTGTCCATTAATGTAGATACTGTGCAGCACACAGACTTTATCATTGTGAAATGCTGTTTATTTTGCTGCACCGGCAGTTATAGGGTTAATGCGCCTGTGATACAGCTGTTCTGCGTTCTGATTAAAAGTTAAGACAGAGCGTCGTTCTTCAAACATTTGTTTACTGATCAACTGACCATTGTCGTCATCCTTAATAAATAAAACATTTATTCATGCTTGGGTGTCGGCGGTGAATCCAGTGGAGAGAAATCCCCCACCACTAACTGCAAACTGGCATTCAGATCTGCCTTCATTTTGTTTGCCACGACCCACCTTCCAACGATCCAATCAATTCCCGAAGGACGAAATCAAGTCCAGCCCTCTCATTTCAGATGCCGTTTCACTTGGATATACGTCACAGTAAAGAAGAAAAGACAATCGCAACTTCCGTTTCATGCCGACTTTAAATGTATATTCTGAGAAAATTACAATGTTTTCTGGCCTTAGATGCATTTAAACCTGTTGTAGGGGACTCCAACACAATATTAGGACACTTTAAAATACCATATGGCCTGCTCTTTAAAGGGGATATCGGATGCAAAATTCACTTTTACATGGTGTTTGCATATAAATGTGTCTTAGCAGTGTGTGGACACAACCACCCTACAATGATAAAAATACATTCACTACTTTTTTTTAATCACCAAAAAACCTAAACAGTCTCAATAATCAAGGCGTTTTGATTTTCTGAGCAACATGACGTCATATTGCTCAGGCCCCGCCCACGACCACTGACGGACTGTCCCGTATTTACATATTTCCGCACTCAGCCAGTTGTACGCTGTCTGCCATTTTCTCCACGCTCGAGCAGCTGTAGCGACAGCAATGACTCGTAAGCAATGCAGGTGTTTTGTAGTTGGATAGAAAAGTGAACATAAGAGTCTTCATTTTCTCCCAACATCAGAGCCATTGAGGACGCAGTGGATTAGTTTTGTTTTTGATGGTAATGCGCCACCGAATACACCTAAATTATTTTTCATGAAGACCCTAAAGAATCATACCAACTTGCGGAAAATGGGCATCCGATGTCCCCTTTAAACAATATTTTAGTCTGGCTGAATGTTACATTCACAATCAAATAAGGGGTTAAATGTGAGTTAAGTCATAGAATTAACATCACAATCAATCAAGACTACATTTCCAGATGACTGCCAACCCAGTACTAACCATAACTAATTGTAGAGCACTATACATAAAACATTTTATATTAAAAATATATACCTAAAAGAGATGGATGAAGCATGTTTCTTACCTTTCCTAGCCCGAGAGAAAAGTTTGATGCTGACAGGAGATGTGGAGGGATTTGTGGAGTCTTTAGAGGACGAGCGAAAGATTCCGGTGAAGCTGCGGCGACGTGAACACTTGGGCGAGGAGTCGTGGTTGGAGGAGTATGGGAAGATGGGTTTGGGTGATCCAGGGCTGTTTCTGAATCGGGCCGGTGCGGACAAGGGGCTAGAGGGCCGACTAAACGGACCCCGGCTGAAGAAGGTTTTGGTCGGGCTGGCTGAATGGCAGCTAAGCTCCTCCTGGAGAGTAAATCCAATCACACACAATATTAGGACAACAGCTATTTCCTGAAGAAAATGTGTCCCTAACACAACTAATAAAAGTCATATGCACAGTTGAATCAATGAAACAATACACTTTCAAGCATACAGAGAGGAATACTGACCCTTGAGATTTTAAACCACAGAGCAATGACAGAAATTGTTTTCATACCAACAAAATCATCAGTGAATGGCATTCTCATACAGATTAAGCATATTTCCTGTTACTGTAATGTTATGCTGACCATTGATGGCATATTTGAAGGACATGGACCGACAGACATTGAGATACTGAATGAATAGACGTCATAACATTCATATAAATTGTAAGTCCTTGATGTTTCCACCGTTCAATCACATGGGAATTTCACACAGTAAAACAGCCAGACAAAGCCACTGAAAACTGTTTAGACAGCCAAAAGAGCAGATGGCCTCGTTTTTGTCAAGAGGCTTTTGTTAAAACAGAGTGGCATAAATACCTCACTGTACTATATACCTAAACACGCTACATAACTACCCCCATCTCGCTCACTCGCTTGCTCTCAAAATACACCAAGCTAGTTCAAAATATTAATAAAAATGTGTTTATGAATACTGCTATAGAATAAACACTGTTCATGTTGTTCCAAACCTGTATGTATTCTTCTGTCAAACACAATTTCTAAAGAACATCCTGGCCACTGTTGTCAATATAATGAAAGTAAATGAGGAGTGGGACTGTCAAGCTCCAAAATGACCAAAAAGCACCATCAAAGTGTTATAAAATACAACTCTTGCACTATATTTCAAGTCTTTTGAAGTCACATGACAGCTTTGTGTGAGGAAAAGACATTGAGATCCACACTAGTTCTTCTTGGTATGTTCATGAGAAAAAGTAGTGATGTGAATAAATGGAGTCAGTTCACAGCATTAGTCTAAATGATTCATTTACAAATCAGACTGATCTAGTTCTTAAGTTCAGCTTAATGATGCATTGCAGTGGAAGGAACGATATTCAGCATATAACAATCTCATTTTGGGTCTGTCCCTTATACAAAACCTGTCAAATGTTTTCAGAAGACTTGGAATATAGCACACAATCATATGAATCACTTTTATGAAACTTTCATTGTCCTTTTTCATTCTTTTTGAATGTGACAAGGGTCTGTGTTTCATAACAACAACAAAAAAGTACGTCTTATGAGTTTGGATCGACATGAAGGTGAGTAAATGATGGAAGAATTTTCATTTTTATTTGAACTATCCCCTTAAAAGTCTTAAAAGACTAAGATGAAAGAAACCCTTTCTTTTGTGGACTAAACCAAACGACATACGTTTTTTTTCCCCTCGGTTGTCATGGAAACATTTGACTGTTTCTGTGTTGAAGAGCTGATGGAAAAAAGTCTTCACTGACAATGAGTTTTCACGGTCCTGAACCTTTGATCATGAGATAAGTGAAACATACTAACTTAGCAATTTACAACCTTTAAATTCACACTACCCTTATTTTGGTTCCGATCCAGAATCTAAGCCATTCCTGTGGCAAACCTTTGAGCAACACTAGGTTAATGCATACCATTTGCATACAAATGTTCATCCACACTGGTGATTCTGCACTGACCTTGCCGTGGGTTAATAAAACATCTGTTCAACAAGGAGAAATATTAGCCAATATCCTGAATGCTAGCAACAAAAAACACTGGCAAAGCAGTGAAGTGGATCAGATTACATCTTATCATAAAATGTATACTCCAAAACCTCCTAAAGCATCAAAACAGCCCTTCAGATTCAGTGACTCCAACTCACCAAAACACAAAAACACCACGCTGACAGCTATCAGATTCATCTCTTCTCTAGCCTTGCCTTGCTGGCCTCTATGGGCGATTGGTCGTCAGATATGATGATTTCCCAGAATTCCTTGGGAATGTTTACAAAGGTAACAAGAGCAGATCCTGAGTTACTAAGCAAAATGAGTTAGCACCGAAAACTATTTGGACAAATATGCTACACTTCATTTCTGAAAGCATGAACAAAATATCAAACCAAATGGCATCTGCAAACAATTATGTTAAAAGTTTGGGTCTGTCAGATTTTTATTTATTTATTTAATGAAATTAATGCTTGTATTAAGCAAGAAGAATTACATAAAAATTACAGTAAAGACATTTATGTTACAAAATATTTCTATTTAAAATAAGGCAGCGGCTATTTGCACTAAGTGGTAATAGCAATTAGATGCTATTTACACTAAGTGCAAATAGCAATGTATTCTATTTACATTATGTTAAAATAGCAGGATTTTCTGCTATTTATACTACTTATTGCAAATAGTGGCAATTATCTGCACCTCAGTATTATAGTACATTATAAAACAGTACGCAGTAATAACGTATTGCGTGTAAATTATAATTTTAATTCAAATTAATAATTGGATGCCACCTTATTGGGACAATAAAGCCCTCCCTACACCTACCCGATACTTTATTTTCAACTTTTTGATTATTTCCTTAATTTTTATTGAAAATAAATGCCTTTCCGATGTGATATGAGATTTGAAAAGGGAGAAAAAAAAAGTTCGGTAAAAGGCGGATTCGAACCCGGGTCGATCGCGTCAAAAAGACGACGGTACGCATTTTACCATCTACACCACTGACGCTGACCATAGCTGGCCGTCTTTTATAATGTTGACCATCCCTATCACGCGTTTGTGGGTGGAGCTAGTGTAAATAGCCTCTGCCAACAAGGCGGGCTATTTGGACTTAGTGTAAATAGACACTCCGTTAAAATAAATGCTGTTCTTTTGAACTTTCTATTCATCATAGAATCCTGTATGACAGTTCCCACAGGAAAGTAAGCAGCACAGCTGTGTTTAATTGAAAATCAAATGAGAGGTCGGTACAGGCAAAAAGAACCATGATAGACATAATTACAAATCAGGTTATTAGAGCAGACTCATCCCATCAGAGTGACAGCAGAGATTGAGGACATTGAGGATATGGCAGCTTTCAGACTGCCGACACAAATGGAATGAATCTGCATTTTACACAGCTATTCACATTTCAACAACCCTTTGTGCTTGAATTACCAGATCATACATATAGCAGTTCAGTATAATACTGATCTACAAAGGCAAACATGCACATTTTGATTGATTTGATCAGTTTTCACTTCACTTTCCCCGAATCGATGCGCCCAGCTAACAATGTTCTCAGAACTTTGGCTAATGTTTTAGCCAGGTTCTCTAAAAGTTATAAACAAATGTTTTATAGAATGTTTGTTCAAAGTTATCTGGTGTTTAATAACGTTCTTAAAGCAGCAGCACATACACCATTCATGGAATGTTTTTTTTCTGAAACGTTTTAAAAGTTATTATTTGTTTTAGAATGTTCAGATGTAATGCTCCCATAATGTTTGCAAAATGATCAAACGGAATGTTTCCTTTGTGTCCGCATAACCAAGATTTTTTTTAGACATAAAAAAACCTGGATATTTTTAACATTCAGAGAACTTCAGAGAAAAAAAAAAACATTTTCATAACTTAATGGGAATGTTAGCTTTCAGTCATAACTGAAGTTCAATCATGACAACTCTCGGAAGATTTAACATGGTGATGGATAAGACAATGTTAATGTATTTGGTGTAGTAAATGTATTTTTAAGACATACTGCTGTTGCACAAATAGCATATAAAATAACCCATAGAAGATCTATACAGGTGGAGCTGGGGAAGGTGGAGGGTTTCAGAGAACTCTGAAAGCGCGCTGCAGGAATCTCAAGTGAATGCTAGCCAGCCATATAAATGCAAGGCAGTAAGCTCATTGGCTGCATATGCAGCATGAACCAATCAGCTTGTGCCAAGTTGTTTAACTCTCTGAATGTCATCAGTTACGTTAACAACCAGTCGCCTGCACCATCTAGAGCAGTGTTTCTCAACCCTGGTCCTGGGCGCCTCCCAGCACTGCACATTTTGTGTGTCTCCCTAAGCAAACACACCTGATTCAACTCATTAGCTCATTAAAAGAAACTCCACGACCAGAAATGGGTGTGTCAGATAAGGGAGACATACAAAATGTGCAGTGTTGGGGGGCGCTCAGGACCAGGGTTGAGAAACACTGATCTAGAGTTTAGAGACTGAACTATATATTTTAACTAAATGTGTAGTTATAACGTTTTGCCTTTAGGGGGCGGAATATACATCACAGGGCCAGTGATGTCATAGTGATGACAGGAAAGGAAATTGCATAATTCAAACAAACCAATTAAATGTGTGATATACACATTCTTTGGAAGGATGCGCAATTGTCAACAGTGTTTTAAAATGACTTTTTGAAGCAATTTTGGTTTAATTTCTTACTCATTTAAAACAACATGACACTACATTGGAGAACCCAAAACCAATTATTTAACTAGGCTATAATACCAATAAACACATCACTCACCAAAACATACTCTAATACATTTTTCACAGCATAAATCATTTTAAAATCTGAATAAAAATTGGCACAGCCTTGTGTGTGTTTAGGTTGTGTTACCTTGCACTCGCCGTCCTTGTTCGCATGTTCCACATCTCCTTCCAGAAACGGCATGGCTAAGGAGCTCAAGTCCTGTGGAGAACAAACAAACAAAATGATTGAGCTCATTAAAAATCACTTTTATGACTGCGGCACCTCTCATTTACTCCATAAAAATACCATAATGAACAATTCACTGATCTACTGTGGCTTTCTTCTAAGTGGATCAAAGGTTAAGCTCTACAGTACCCAAAAATCACAAGGAATTATACAAATAACAGGCAGAGAGGAAAGAGTATAAACGGTTTAGACAGTTTAACAGAAGCACATCACATATGACAGATGAACACTCGGTGGGTGATCCGTCTAACCTGTACAAAACCACATGCGCTGCCAGTAATACACAAACAATTTGGAAGAACTCACAGCAGTTCCAAAACATCTCCACTGTGCTCCTTCTCAAAAATCCAACAACTTTTATCAACATCAGTCACTTCAGTAGCTTCGTCCCTGCTTCTTTCGGACAACACATCATCACCGCCATGCAATGACAACTAAAAACATGCACAGCCTCTGTCATCTAAACCGGTTTTTAAAGTAACATGATCTCATGTGAACCCCTGCAATATTTTCCCGGTCTGTGCAAATGTATGTGAAACCTGTAATGCACAGATTAAATCAGGTATCACTTAACCTCACAATAGACTCCCACTGTTGGACATCGGACAATGATTTCCAGAAAATTCCAAAGGGATCAACAAGCGTTTGTTCCATGAAATAAGTCATTTTACCAAGCCAACAAGTCTTAAAACAATGACGGATTGCACGGGGGTTGAAATAAGATAAATGTGACTCTGGACCACAAAACCAGTCTTAAGTCGCTGGGGTATATTTGTAGCAATAGCCAAAAATACATTGCATGGGTCAAAATTATAGATTTTTCTTTTATGCCAAAAATAATTTGAATATTAAGTAAAGATCATGTTCCATGAAGATATTGTGTACATTTCCCACCGTAAATATATCACAACTTCATTTTTGATTAGTAATATGCATTGCTAAGAACTTCATTTGGACAACTTTAAAGGCGATTTTCTCAGTATTTAGATTTTTTTTTGCACCCTCAGATTTCAGATGTTCAAATAGTTGTATCTCGGCCAAATATTGTCCTGTCCTAACAAACCATACATCAATGGAAAGCTTATTTATTTAGCTTTCAGATGATGTATAAATCTCAATTTCGAAAAATTGACACTTAAGACTGGTTTTGTGGTCCAGGGTCACAAATGTGGTCAGTTAATGAACGTTCTACAATCAGAATCCCCTCTAACCAAAATATGTTCTAAGAACATTTTACTAACGTTCCCATTACGTTATGAAAACTTTATATGTTTTCAGAACAATTTCAGAACTTTTCCTTGGTTATATGAACATTCGGAAAAACATTAAGGGAATGTTCAATTTTAGCTTTTTGCAATCATTATGGGAATGTTACATTTAAATGCTCTCTGAACCATCGGAAACACATAGTAAGTGGTAACATTTAAAAAAAAACATTAGACTAACATCCAACTAAAATGTTTCAGAAAAACATTTCAAGAATGAAGTAAAAACATTTTTGTGCTAATGTTTTAGTAATGTTATTAGATAACTTCGAATGAACATTCTATTAACGTTAATGAAAGAACAATTGTTCATAACTTTGAGAGAACCTTGCCAAGGACATTCTGAGAACATTCCCTGTTAGCTGGGATAATTCTAGAACAACATTAAAAACATGTTCACAGCTAAACAAAGAAACTTAGCACAGGACAGCAGCTTGCACACTTACACACAGGTTCTTCAATTCTTCTTCCATTTAGCTGCTGTTTCACAGAATCTTTCACCTACACTGACTAGTACCTAAACTCACTTTGGCAGTAACCCAAAGCTCACTAAAATGCTCAGAAGCTGTAAATGTGATGCAGTGACATTTTAAACAACAGCAGAGGCTTTGCACAAACCACGGAGTCACTGAAGTGCATTAACTTCATCCTCATTACACAATTCACTTTTGTAGCTACACAGAGGACGTGATTGTTTAGCGGTCACTCCATATATCTGAGATGTATTAGTGTGATCTGAACCAAGCAGTTTAAAAACCCTTGCTGGCCTGACCTGTTACCCAGTACACAGAGAATTACTGTAACCGGTGACACATTAAAAAGCACTGCTGTTACTGAAAGTCTCCTAATACACATTTCTTATACATCCATTTACTTACTGAAATCAATACTAATATAAGCATTAGTGGTCAACTGATAAGGGTTTTTCTAGGGTTGATGCCATAGAAAGTGGGCTGGAAGGTGGCTGACAAACTGAAAATGTCAAATAAAGGTCCATTAATGACGTTTGCAGTCATCTAATGCATCTTTAAAAACAATTTAATAGCCCTGTTAACTGTTATTTTTAGCAAATCTCAATATTAATATCCATTTTTCGTAGTGTACATTATAATATTGTGATGCCTGAATTCACCTGTAGTATTTAAAACTACAGATTCTAATAATTTAGACAAAATGTAGAATTTTAATATGGGCCATAACATGAAAATAATTATCAGCTTATCAGTATATTAATATTGGTGCATCCCTACTAATAAATATGATATATAACTATACACCTGCTTTACATTCAGGTTAAAATATATATATATATATTCAAATAAATCACCGAATATAGGAACAAAGCTGAATAAAATGTATTTATTTATTAAAAAAAATTTTTTTTTAGACAAAAGAGTGTAGAATTTTAATATTGGTCATAACATGAAAATAATTATTGGTGTATCAGAATATTAATCAGTGCATCCTTAATATTAAACTTGGTAATTTCAATACACCAGCTTCACATTAAAGTATATAGGCCTACTCAAAATATACTCATGCAAAACACACCAAATAGTAACAAAGCTGAATAAAACTGATAATTATGACAAATTTTATTAATTTAATAAGTGAATCATACAATTAATGTCAACCTCAGCCAATGATACCTTGAACCTTTCACGTTTCTCAATATTAGCACTACTTTTATTCCCATATTTGATGTAAATTGTTAATTTTTCTGAACATTTTAAAATCCAAAACTGGCTAATCGCTTTTAACATCCTTGTTAAATGTCTCCCTCATTACAACCATCCATTACGGCCTGACTCATGTTGCTCCTCAACATGCAAATCTTCTCTTGTCTCACAATGGGTCAATCATATCCATGGTAACAGGATTGACTTTCAAAGCCTGAGACAGAGTAAAAGCCAAGAAAATTCAAACCCATCAGTTAGAATTCAAATCAACGTCCTTGAAAATGTTTCACAAGATTGTTTGATGATTAAAAGCAACATGAGAATCAGCAGTTACTTAAACTGATTGATTTCAACAGCGTGATCTGATAAAGTTGGCCAAATGTATTGTCAATCGCAACATGCCATTTACTGTACCTCATCTGCCAACATACAAACCAATCAACAATAAAAACACATTGTCCCCGTTACAGATCCGAGTCAGTTTCCTAGGAAAGAAGGACCACAGCCAAAGTAGAGAAGCCATCTGTCCTGTAGACGGGGAGCTCAAGGCACCCCGCCTCCATATCCTTGGAGCCCCGAGACCCGATTACAAGCCCATATTTGCAGGATAGAGATCAAGACAAAATATTACCTCTGCAAACAAGCACTGGAGAACGATCAAAGAAAAATAAGACCCCCTCAGATTCACAGAGTTCCAGCTGTAGCGGTCTTGTATTGAGATACCAGCATTCGGAAATCCCAGACGAATGCAGGGCTACTCCAAAGAGCAAGGACAGTCATAACTCACTGATATGATACAGCACCTCCCTTCAGTAACATGGAGGTCAATGGGGCAGGTCTGGGGATTTGTGTGTTTATACCTAAATAAACTTAAATACAGGAAGGTAACAAGCTGGCTTGCAGCTCTGTCTGTTTGTGTATGGATAAACAGAGAAAAATACAGCGCAGGTAATGACTGAGGGAGAGATTCAGCCTTGAGGAGGTTCGCCAGTCATTTTGAAACGTGACAATCATCATAAAATTGCATCAGGCATGTCCAAGGCAACCACTCAGCATCTCACTGTTGCCATGAGTCACAAAAGACACAATGTAACAGCATATGTGAATCACATACACAAAATACAAGCGCTTGTGATGCTGAAGCTCGTTTGGTAGTGTTTAAACTGACAAAGGTCAAAGGGCACAGCAAAGGATCATAATTCAACCACAGGACACAAATGGTCTCAAAAATGTGGGACCCTTGTGAAAAAGGAGTACACTTTAGCTTTTAACATAAAACAGCACTTATTATATTATACTTTAATATAAATATTATACTCTAAAAGCAGCCCTCTACGAACACCTTGGCAATTGAATCGCCATTGGCTAGTACATTTTTTGTTTACTCGCCAGACTGATAAATATATACATACACCGTTTACATGTAGCGCGCCAATTCTCTCTCTCACTCTCTCGCTGCGTGTGTGTGAGACAAAGCGACGGTGAGACAAAGCGACGGCGAGGCGTGCGCCTTCACACTAGAGTTTACGGTACGTTAAATACAGGTGCGTTGCACATCCATTCAGTTGAACTGACACACAGCACAGATCGCTTGACGGAGAGTGACAGATCGCTTGGCGGAGAGTGAAACTCTGAAGCGCTCAGTCAGAGAGTGTTCGGCGAGTGAAAAAATATGTGCTAAACTTATACTTGGCCTCCAACTCACACACTGGCGAGTAAAATCTGAGAATTTATTAGCAATTGGCTAATATTACATCATTTAGTCGCATATGCGAGTGATTTCCTCGCAATGTAGAGGGTTGAAAAGAATATATTTAAGTGCAAACTGAATGTTTTCAGAAGCTTTATTTGATATTATTTACAATTAAATGAATATAGGAACACCAAATATAGGAACAAAGCTAAATAAAATTTATTTATTTTATTTTATTTTATTTTAGACAAAAGAATGTAGAATTATAATATTGGGCATAACATACAAATAATTATCAGCCTATCAGAATATTATTATTGGTGCATCCCTACTAATAAATATGGTAATTACAATAAACCTGCACATTAAGGTTAAAAAAATATACTCAAGCAAAACACACTGAATATAGTTACAAAGCTGAATAAACTTGATCATTTTAACTTAAGTGCAAACTGAATGTTTTCAGACGCTTACTTTGATATTATTTACAATTAAATGAAAAAGTGTTTGTTTAAATATTAAATGCAATTAGTTGATTTGAAGAATGCTTTTTGACCCACGTAAGTAGGACTTAAGTACTTTATATGTAATTTTATTTCATAATTCTATTGTCTTTGAGTGAATTGTTGAATATAGCCAGGGTTGCCAGGTGTTCACAAGAAAACCCACCCAATCGCTACTCAGAACTAGCCCAAAACTAGCCCAATCATGTTTCAAGGGGGTCCCCTGCTAAAATTCGCATTCCAGGGGATAAATATCATGTTATTGGGGTCGCTTCAACCCGCGGACATGAAAAACAACCCGCGGCAACAGTGTTAAAGTAGCCCAATTCCGCGGGAAAACTTGGTAACACTGAATATAGCGACAAGCATTTATGGTAAATTAAAATAGACTTAATTTTTTTCTATTAAATTTGTACAAAGTATTTAAATTACAATTAAATACATTTATAATATATTAACTAATAATATATTAACTGTACTTTAAAGTAAAGCATTTAATTTGACTATTACAAACGGCTTTTTTTACGCATACTTAAGTGTTAAGAAAGTGTACTCTAAGTGGTCTTTTATTTCATTAATAATATATTATCTTTTTTAAAGTACATTTACTTTAAGATTTAATAAGTACAGTACAAGTACATTTATTACAATTATGCACACTTCTTTTTCACAAGTCTGCATAGTACAATATTGCAAGAATCTCAGTTTACCACACTAAAGTTAAGACACCTGCCACTGAAAACGAAACACAAATAACCAAACTAAACTTCAAAAAGCACTCAGAAAGATATATTTGTGTCTATTTTTGTATGAATTAAAAATATAGGGAAATCGCTGAACCTATTGCTTATGTACACAAAAGTGCATGCGGGTTCATCCGGGTTGATTATGTGCAAAAGTATGTGTGTATGTAGTAACAATGCTGGCTTTGTGACCTTTAGTTCAGTCATTTATTTACCAACAGTATACAGCAGTAAATGTGGTTAAATACCCTAATAGTTTACCGATTCATACTTGAATGACCATAAATGTCATATGTCAATATGACAGATTTGATATTGGACATTTTATGAGTGACGAGAAGTTCCAACCCTGATTTTCATATTAATCCTCGATACAAGTTTCATAAAACATTAAAACCAGCATTTATGTATTCTGTTCAAATAACTCACTACAGTAGCTATATATGAGTTTATCAGCATTTTAAGTGGACATTTTCAAAGTGTTCATCGCTATGGCTCAAGATTGTTCACCCTCAACACATATTTCACATATACCTGTTAAAATGTCAGGAAACTGTCAAAAATGCCACGATGTAACAAATTATGCTTGCATGTCTATGCAGAACCTGTGTTCCCTACTGATAAATATTGTTTATATTCATAGGATTACTCAGTAAGGACACCGATCTGATAATGACAGTAAACAGCTAATTAGCAGGTGATTACTCAGTGGCTCCAGCACTGGAAGAAACAGAGACTTACCGTTTCATTACAGCTTGAGCTGACTGAACCAAAACACTGCTTATTGTACAGGGGTTTCTTTTAAATCTAATAATCATACTTACTACTTATGTTATGCTGTTATTTTATTAGCAAAATAAGCTGGAACCCTGACATTGTGTAAAATCTCACATCTGTCACTCTCACTATATACCTGTGTCTATACAGGTTCAGTACTAATCATTATTAGTTCATTAAAAGCCTTGGTGTTTCTATAAACATTCATTTAGGAAAACCACACATTAACTGATAGTCATTTGTGGTTCTTTAAGCCATTAAAGATGATGACTGACTCCATGTTTAACGCAGTCAGGTGTGGCCAATTGAAATATGGTCCACACCTGCTCATGTTCATTGCTATTTATGTGAGGAGGTGGTTGATTTGAATATAATGATGCCGATTAGGATAGGAAGTGTTAACATTAATTCTTTTGAGAACCAGGAGACTTTGCTAATATACATATGCAAACCATTTATATGTTTAGCTAATATCTCAGAGACCATGCAGTATGTGATGATAATAATAATACAAAAACATGAATAAAAGACTGTCAAAATAATGTTTTATGCTTATTTTGCAATGTTTGCTATATACCAAAAAAATAAAATTATATAAATAAATTCTAATACCAAGATCTCAGATATGACATATTTTAAAAATCTTAAATATACACATACTCACCAAAGACATAAATGCAATACATTAACACACACATGCCAGTGGTCTAAATCTTAATAATGGCATCATGGACTTGTCTTTGAAAGTAAATATTTGGGACTGTAGCAATAATAATAATAATAACAAACAAAACATTATTTAATAAATATAAAAAAATGTAAATTAATTTTTTGCAGGTTCTCGGAATATTCTTTTTTTTTTTGCAAACATATTCGATAAACACAAGACAAAAACACCTTTTGATAAAATAACCTTATAGGAAATAAGTCAAATCAATTTACAGGTAATTTCACAATGTCATTGCTAGCAAAGAGAATATAATTTACATTTCTGTGTTTGTATCATGTTCTAGTCCATGTCCACAACTTTTGGCTTTGAATCTGTGGGAGAAAAACATCAGTATCGTCAGATATGAACTTACAGGCATGTTTATCCGAAGCGATCTCCTTTTTCTTGAATTTTTCTTCTCTTCTTTCTTCTTAGAATCCATTGCAGTACTGCCCATCTCCCAAAATAATGTTTTTGTTCTTTGGCAAAGGCTTAGCCTATTTAACACTGGCGACGAAAACAATACCCATCGCTCTTGCATATGAGAGTAACAAAATAATACTTTGAAGTAATATTAAAAATATATATTTTCGATTTAGCAGGTTCTCGTACGAAATAATATTGGGTTCATTTCTGTCGGTGTCTGAACAAAAACACTTGCACCCTCAGTGGAAAAAAAAAACTTGCATGCGCACGGACAGAAAAGGTGAAGAGGATGAGACGCTCTGCGGTTCTCTGTTTGTGTGGAAGCGTCAGTGCGCGTGTGTATCGAGCATGCTGAAAACCGCGCCGCATCCTCCTGTCAATCAAATGACGTAGCATGCAGGGGGCTGGGCCAGGATATTCAGTTACTAGGTTACAAGCGCAGATGCTGCAGAGACCAGAAACAAGGTAGGGGAGAAAAAATGTAATAAACTGTTACAAACTTAAACACATTTTTTAAATTAATTACGAAACAGCATAAAAATTACACATAAAAATTCACGAAACCCTCTGTTGGTGAGTTCTTGTTTTTGTTTATGCCAAATCTGTTCAAGCCAAGCCAAGCCAAGCCAAGTCAAATTTGTTTGTATTTTGGATATCACTTTTGTTTAATAAAAGCTGCGCTTGGGTTCACTACGCTCACCTCCAGTGGAATCGTTACAAATATATACCACACATGCCAGAAGTCTATACCTGGTCTCTATAAGTGATGATATCATGGACTTGTTTATGAAAGTAAATATTTGGGACTGTAGCAATAATAATAATAATAACAAATAAAACATTATTTAATAAATATAAATAAAATGTAAATACACTTTTCCAGGATCTCAGAATATTATTTTTTTGCAAACATAGCGTGTTTAAATACGGTCCATGTCCACAACTTTTGGCTTTGAATCTGTGGGAGAAGAACATCAGTATCGTCAGAAATGAACTTACGGGCATGTTTATCCGAAGCGATCTCCTTTTTCTTGATTTTTTCTTCTCATCTTTCTTCTTAGAATCCATTGCAGTGCTGCCCATTTCCCAAAATAATGTTTTGTTCTTTGGCAAAGGCTTATTTAACGCTGGAAACGAGAACAATATCCATTGCTCCTTTATGGGAGCAACAGAATAATAATTTTCAGTAATATTAAAAATATATATATTTTTTAATTTATCAGGCTCTCATTCAAAATAATATTGGATTCATTTCTGTCGGTGTCTGAAAAAAAACCTTGCGCACGAACAGAAAAGGTGAAGAGTATGAGACGCTCTCCGGGTGTCTGTGTGTGGAAGCATCAGTGCGCGTGTGTATCGAGCTTGGCGAAACCCGCGCTGCATCCTCCTGTCAATAAAATGACGTAGCGTCCAAGGGGCTGGGTTAGGATTAATATATTCAGTTACTACGGTTACAAGCGCGGATGCTGCAGAGACCAGAAACAAGGTAGGGGAGAACTGTTTCAAACTTTAAACAATAAGTCAATTATAAAACAGCAAGAACATATGTATGTACATACATACATACATACATGGTTGAATATACACACACACACACAAGAACATGTATGTAAATATATATACACACACACACACACACACACACACACAAAACATTTAACTGTTTGTTTATATATAAAACGTGAAAAAAAAATATATATATTATAAATAAAAAACTTTATATAACTTGCTCCAGTTAATATGTAACAGCTTGCCTGCCTGACCTTTATGAAAAATATGCATGTCCTGATAACCTTTCAGTTAAAATCATCAGTTAATATCTTTCTATATTTATCAATATATAGATGTAATAAAAGACCTGAAACCCCTATTTAAACAACAAGTATTGGGTTGAATATTAACATCTATAAATAAACTTGACATTTAATATGACGTGATTCATTTTATTTGAAGTATGCCAAAAGTCAAAACCCTCCTTGATCCTTTCATTTCTCCTGTTATTAAACTCTTATCTCTAAATTACAGGCAGGTGAGCAGAACTCAAACGCATTAATTAAGAACACTGCTGTTGTTACATGCTGCCATCTAGCGATGATAACGTTGCTGTGAGATGAAAATACTTATTTCACAGAGGAAATATTGCTTTTCACACTGAACAACAAACTAAAAGGTCATTTAAAGGTCAGTATTTAAGTATTAGCACATATAGGCTAACTTTTAATGTTTTTTTTTTTGCTTCACACCATTCAACACGTCAATTAAAGCAGTTGATGTCAGTCAGTCAGATAGATAGATAGATAGATAGATAGATAGATAGAAACAACCCTCTATCCTCTTGCATTCTACTCTGTTGGCCCGTAGAGGGCGCTATACACATATAAACACATAGACGCACATCTTGATTAAAGTTGAACTAACTACAAGAGAAAAGAGCTCAGCATACAACTTCTCAAAATAAAAACATGCTACCCAAGTCTCAAAACTGAAGCAACAAGTCTGACTCACTATGGCAGTCTGGCCCTTCGAACACAATATCCCGGATCTCTGTGCAACTCGACAGAATATATTAATGAAAATGATTCAGTGAAAATTCCCGACAGCGTTTTGTTTCATATAATGTTCATGATATTAGGACCCATATGCTGATAGCGGACACTTCTCGTGGTCCAGGTCCGGTTCTGGGCACGCAGTAATCAGATCTGTGGGTGGTTCTTCCTCTGCTCCGCCGGCTGTTGCTTCAGTCATACTTTCACAAAAAACCTGGGCGGTGTAATAAAGGATCAAATTGATGCCATCACATTTGTTTACACCATCCAGACGTGCGCGCTCACTTTTAATAAATAGTTTTATATAGAAAAGTTCAAGATGGATTTTAACGTGAAAAGACTGGCAGCGGACGCTGGTACTTTATTCAGCCGGGCAGTGCAAGTAAGTGCTAATTCAGATTAGTAACGATGCTTAAAGTTTTAAATTAAGTTTTACTTCAACGCTTTGATCCTAAACACTTGCGTTTTGGGCCATTAAGGCGCTTTAAGAGAAATGTCATGTATATCACGCCGCATTTCTGTATCTGTTTCTCTCTTATCCAGGGCCTCTCTTTCTCTCTCGTGCTGTAAATCTGTTTTGTTCAGCGACTTCGCATTACAGGCTTATTTTTTTATTTTACTGCAAAATCAAACATTAAATGCTCAGTTATGTCTTCTAGGCATGTATACTTTGTTATATGGCCAAAATACACTGATGTTTTCACTTTTTGTCCAGGTTCAGTTTGTGATGCTAACGCTAACTGGCTAAAGCAGAGTTTAATCCGGCAGACCTCAGCACATCCACACACAAAGGCTGTGTCTTAAAACCTACCGAGCTGTCTAGCTAGACAACATTTTTAGCCATCAACATAGAGATTGTCATGTTTGCTGATGACGTGGATAAAAAAAGAAAGAAAAAAAAAAAAAACACGCTGATATGACGGCCAAAAAACGCTGCTACTAGGATTTGAGTCACAACCACTCACATAACACTCTGCAATAACAAACACCTCAGTGTGTTTATCAAGTGTGAAGTGTCAAACACTTTATATGCCTGTTATTGTGAGTGTAATTTTAAAATTAGATAAAAGTTTGGACATTTCCTTTCATTTAAATCTGTTGGTGTGTAACTACATCAAAAAGTTTAACCTTAGAACGTGTTACAGTAACAACACTAAATTTGTTTGAAGTTACCTTGTTTCAGATATTTTTGACAGTAATATTGGCAAAGTATGCTCCTAAAAAAACAACAACAACAATAAAATAAAAATCTGTTGTCTTTACAAACAGTTCACAGAAGAAAAATTCGGCCAGGCTGAGAAGACCGAGTTGGATGCACATTTGGACAATCTCCTCACCAGAGCTGAAAGCTCTAAACACTGGACAGAGAAGATTTTGAAGCAGACAGAAGTGTTACTGCAACCAAACCCAAGTAAGATCCTTTCAGTGATTAGACGATTCATTAGCGATGACATCTGAATC